AGCCCCGCCCCCACCTGGCCTTGGCCCGCGCCCCAGCCCGCGCCCCGCCCCCGCGCCCACCTGAGCTGCACGTGGCCCCCCAGTAGCGCCAGGGCCAGGAAGTCCTTGCCCCTCGCGTTGCCGTTGTAAAGCAGCAGCCCATGCGGCTCTAGCGAGCGGAACTCCAGCGCCAGGCGCAGCGTGTGGTAGGCGCGGAGGGTGGGGAAGGCCAGGAAGGACCGGCCCCTGAAGGCCGGCACGGAGCGGCGCAGGACTGTGAGACAGGGAGGGACCGGCTGCAGGTGGGCGGGCCAGGCCTCAAGGGCTCTACCCTCCAGCCCGAACCCCCACAACCCTGGCTCCCTGCCCCCGCCGTCCCCAGCTCAGGGTGTGGGAGTCCAACCCGCGCCTCTCCCCAACCTGCTCCCCCTTCATTCCAGCCCCACTTTCCCTAGTTGGCTGGGTCTCACCCCAAACCCTTGTCCCCATCACCCTTCCTGCTCCTCTCCAGCATGGATGACCCTTACCGTTCTCACAGACCGTGCCCCCCCTGCCAGCTGGGCAGCTGCAGGTGAAGTCTCCACCTGAGTCCTGGTCCTGGCAGGTTCCCCCATGGAGGCAGGGCTGGGAGTCACAGGGCCTCGGGGGCTGCTGGGTGCCTGGGCGCAGGGGCCAGCGTCCAGGCACACGACTGGGGGCAGTGGTTGGGGGCCGGCGTGTGGTGGGGGGGGCTGTGGTCCTGCTGACAGGCCGGCTTGTGTGAATGGGGTAGAGGGCCCGAAGGGTCACAGCAGAAGGCGGCACAGTGGTGGTGGCTCTGGCCATGGCCGCGGCAGGGGTGGCTCCTGTGGTGGCTCCAGTGAAGAATGCAGGAAACCAGTCTAAGGGTAGGGGAACTGTCAGGGTCCCCGCAGGGCACCGGGAGGGTGGGGGTGCAGGGTAGCAGTGGGGGGGACCGGCCAGCGGTGGACAAGGCCAGACCAGACCAATGCTCACCAAAGTCCATGAAGCGCACGTGCTCCTGCGGGGGCCGCCTTATCCCCAGGGACCGGCGCCTGGAAGCCTGGATCTGCCGGAGCAGGGCCCGGCCCACATCGGGTGCCCTGAAGGTTGTGGCTGCAGAGGAGGAGGCACTGAGCACAGCGGAGTCCCATGCAGCCACCCTCCCACCCCCACCTCCTGGGAGGGATAGGGTGGACGGCTCACTGGGATCAAAGTGCACGTCCACAATGGCCCGGACTGAGCTGCCAGGCCCCAAGTCCCGCAGACGGACACTCCAGAAGTCCTTCTTAACGTCTGAGTTCCGGAAGAGGTCCTCCAGCTGTGAGCAATGAGGGTGGATGAGGGCTCGGCGGCTACCACCAGCCTTCCCTGGGTCTATCCTGGGAGGAAGGTAGCTGGTGAGCTGCGCCCCTCCCCACACGCCACACTCACCGCACTCTCGATGCTCCTGGCTGTCTCCCCAAACAGCTCTGACTTGGGGTCGGCCATCTCAGGTGTGTAGAACAGCTCCTGCCCCTCGACCCCCTCAAGCTCCAGCACACCCTGGAATGCCTTGGTGGCTGTGGGGGAGGGGGCAGTGAGGTGCCTGGCACTGGCCCAGCCTCGGGGCTGGCCACTGGCACAGGCCCCAGCAATAAGCCACATGGGTGCAGACAGGTGGCAGTTAGTCAGATGGTCATGAGGTTAGTGGGGAGCCAGGGGCAGGGCTGGCATCAGTTACCAGGCAGACTCCTTGGAGCAGTGCCCCGGGCTGGCTTGCAACGGGAAAGACAGGTTAGCTGCAGGGTCCTAGGCACCCACACGTGTGCGTGAGTATGCCGAATCCCCACCATCACGCACACGCATGTACGAAACGCGACACCACACCCCAGGTGCCCACCTGCTGGGCAGGCAGCTTCCTGGGAGGAGACACAGCATCCCTGGCCCGTCCAGGCCCCTGCTCACACTCCAACCAGTCCCCGGCCACCCACTCACCAGGACAGCTGGAGCCCTCAGCATCCAGCAAGGGCGTCTTGCCATCCGAGCAGCAGCCCAAAGGTGAGTTGTAGCAGGAAGCCCTCTCAATGGGTTGCCCAGGGGTCACAGCACTGCCGCCCTCAGGGGGCTCAAGTCCTGCGGAGGTACAGTCTGAGCCCGGCCCCAGGTGCATCCCTCCTGGGCTCTGCGCCCCACATCCCTGAGCCCATGCTCACCCCCTGAGCCGGCCCCACTGGCCTCCATGTCCCCACTCAGCTCTTCATCACCGCTCCCATCAGCGCTGCCAGATTCACCAAAGGCAGACGTGGCGAGGCTAGCTGCTACGGGGGGCGCTGTGGGGGGCATGGTCAGCACAGGCCTCCGGGTGGCCCGGGGGATGCTGGCAGTGGTCCAAGGTTGTGACGAGGGGCGGGGGGTGGGTCGGCTGCGGACGGTACTGCTGGGAGCCAGGGGGAGGGCGCTGGGCGGGGGCAGCAGTGCCTCCCTCAAGTTGCTTGCCGAGGTGGCCACAGACACAGATGTGGGGTGGGCACCGGGGACCACAGCCTCTGTGAGGAGAGGAGAGTCCGGGTGGGTGCCGAGTCAGGGTGGGGTCAGGCCTTCCTGGTCAGTCCTGGGGGTGGGGCAGGCCTCACCCTGGCACGGGCCGAGGCTCTGGATAGAGATGTTCCGGCCTTGGCGGCAGGCGATGGTCCTCAGCTGACACTCGTTGCCGTAGGTGACTCCATCTGACCCACAGACCTGGGGCACACGGCAAGGATGCTGGGGGGAGCCCCTCCCCACCCTCCCCACCCTCCATACGCTCCGCTCCTCACCTTCGTAGCATTGGCCCCAGGGCAGGTGGGTGTTGAGCACACGCAGTGGGCGGAGCCAGCCTCCTCCACGCAGGATGCCCCAAACTCACAGCGCATCTCAGCACAGGTCTTTGGTGCCGAGGAATCTGGGCACAGACAGAGGAGACCCCGCTGGCTCAGGAGGCCTGGCCCCCATGACAACCCTGCCCCCAGCACAGGGAGTCCCCCGTCAGCACCAGGCCTGGCCCTCACCTGTCTCACAGCCAGCAGGGCCCAAGGCACGGCCGTCTGGACACTGGCCACACTTGGGTCCAGCCACGCCAGGCTTACAGGAGCATAGCCCGGTCATCTGCTCACAGTCGTCCCTCACAGCACCTCGGGGGTCACAGCTGCAGGCTGAGGGGACCAGGGTTGGGGGCATGCTGAGGTCTGTGCCCAGTTTCCCCACTGGCCCCAGAGCCTGGTCCAGTCCTGCCAGGTGTGGGCTAGGCCAGGGCCTGAGTAGGGGCTTGTCAAGGGGATCGGTGACAGGGTGAACAGGTGGGAGTGCTCAGCTGGGGACCGACCGTGGGTTCTGTCACTCACGGGTGCAGCCACTCCGGCCATCGGTGACGATGCCACGGAAGTTCCAGAAGCCGGGCTCACAGCGGTCACACTTGAGGCCGCCCACACCGGGGCGGCAGGAACACTGGCCTGTGGCCGGGTCACAGCTGCCACTGTAGGAGCCGTGTGCATTGCACTGGCACAAGCCTGCGGGTCCACAGCAGGACAGGGTTACTGCAGCTGCCAAGCTCTGCCTGGCTAGGGGTCAGGGCCGAGCTCAGGTACTCACTGGGGCAGCCAGCGAGGCCCACACCCCGGGCAGCAGTGATGTTATCCTGGCAGCAGCCGTAGGGGGTCTGGGTGCAGTGCAGGGGAACCGCAGGTGGCACTGGGGCCAAGGTGGGGCCTGCAGAGAGGGGCGGGGCTTCAGAGGCTTCCCTGGGCCTGGCCATCCCACCTTGTCTCCTCGGCCACTGCCGTCAGCCCGCCCCCCTCCCCCCCAATGCTGCAGCTTCCACTGGGGCTGGGAAACTGAGGCTCGGGTCACAGCCGAGGGTCCCACACATACAAGAACATGCCTGGACACGCAGGACCAGGCACACACAGAACACTCAAAGATCACAGGCAAGCAGCCCTGTACACAGAGTACAGCCAGATTAGTGTCTCTGCAAACTGGCATACACACACGAAGACGTGTGGGGACACACATTCCCCCACATTCCTCCAGAACCACACACGTTCACACATACCCGTGCACGCATGCACTTGTGCACATGTGAAGGTATAATAAACATGCCACGGACTGAATCACCACCCATCTCCCCACGAGAGGAAGTGCCAGAGGGTGGGCCTCGCTGACTCACTGCTGCTTCCCTGGCACCTTGGCCCAGCCTGGCGCACAGTGGGAACACACTCGCTGACAGTGACACGAGTCCACCCAGCCTGGCGCACAGTAGGTGCACACCCACTGACCGACAGTGACACACAAGTCCACACACTGCATATATTCACACACGTGACACCCACAAGCCTCGCCCCTGCTGCACACACAGACACAGGCTACTGCACACGGCGCCCAGATGCCCTGCGCCCGCTCACCTCGGCAGGCTCCCTGAGCTGCCACGTACAGCTCCGCCCGCGCCTCACAGCGGGCCTTCTTCAGCTCGCACTCTGTGCCATAGGTGACCCCGTCTGAGCCACACACCTGGGAGGGGGGGGGTCAGTGTGGGTCAGTGTCCTTCCCCACTGCTGCCCAGAGCCAGAGAAGGGCAGGGCCTTACCGGGTTTCTCAGGACACCCTGGCAGCTGAAATCGCACACACATGGCCCGTCCTCTGAGTCCTCATCCCAGACGCCACCGCGCTGCCGACACAGCTCCTGCTCACACTCGCTGTCCTCTCCGGACCCGGAGCCCCCTGAGCCGCACTCGGCTGTGGGAAGGGGGCCGGCTCACCCGAGGGGTCCTGGGCCACGCTGGCGCCCAGCAGACCGCACCAGTCGCCCCGAGCCTACCCTGCTCACAGGGCCCCACCCGGGCCTCCTCGATCTGTGTCTGTTGCTGGCAGGCAGCCTCACGTAGCTCGCATGCACTGGGGTAGGTGACACCGTCGCTGCCACACACGGGGCCAGGTGGGGGGCGCTCACACCGGGGGCAGACACACTGCCCCGCCAAGCACACTGCCCCGAAGGCACACACCGTGTCTCCACAGGTGTCTACAGAGGGCGGAGTCAGGCCAGGGTCAGCGGACCCCAGCTGTGGACACACTGGACCACAGCCCCCCCACCCCCACAACCCCACTCACGGCAAGGTCCAGCCGAGGCCACATGCAGGCTGATCTGGTGTGTGCAGGCGTGGACGTGCAGCTCACACTCACTGCCATACGTGTGCCCGTCAGAGCCGCACACGGGCTGGGCCAAGGCCACGCACTCAGAGGGGCACACACAGCGCCCAGTCTCAGCCTCGCACAGGGCTCCAAAGCGGCACTGCCCACAGCGGTCTGGGGAGGAGGCGTCATCACCATGGTGACCCGGACCTACCCCCCAGTAAGACCCACTTGCCCACTACTGACCACAGGGTCCTCTGCGAGCCACCCGGATCTCCTGCCCAAGGGCACAGGCTGTGGCCTCCAGTTCGCAAGTGCTGCCGTACGTGACACCATCGCTGCCACACACAGGATCATAGAGGCCTGAGCACGCCTGCTGGCACACGCACTCGGCGTTCCCATTCTTCACAGCACACGCTGCCCCAAACGGGCACTGCACCCCAAGGCAGGGGGACCGGGGCTGGTCTGGGGAGAACATGATCACTCAGCGGCCCCACCTCCCTAGGCTTAAGCACAAAGCCCCAGCCCCACGCAGCAGACCCTCTCCCAGGGTGGGGATGGCAGACGAAGGGTGGACCAGAGGGCCAGACGCACAGGACACAGCAGAGAAAGGGACAGATACATGACAGACATGCACAAGGACACAGACTCAGACGGTCCCAGCCCCCTGCACGAGTATGGGGTGGGGCTGCCCCCAAGACAGGAGCTTTCTGACTGCCCACAGTGGGTGGTACGAGGGCCAGGTTTGCCCAGCCCACCCAGGCCACTGACCCCTGACCACCGGCAACCCTGGGACCCCTATGCATGCGTGGGGGGCTCTCTCTCCATGAGTAGGAAGGGTCTGCAACCCAGAGTCACACCCAGGGCAGCATGGGGGAGGAGGTGTCTGTCCACTTGCTCTGAGGACCACAAGGCCAGGCAGCAGCGAGCCACCCCCCTCCCCCTGCCGCGCTGGGGGCAGACCTCGGGCTGCGGGCTCCTGGCGGAGGCGCGGTACCTCATCCTGCCAGTAGGTCAGGCTGGAAGACACAAGAGGAGGAGCCAAGAGGGAAGGAAGGACAGAGGACAGACCAGAAAGATGGACAGACCGACTGACAGAGTTGGAGGTGGGCAGAACACAGAGCCCCACCCTCTGCTGGCCAAAGCACAGCTGAGACCCTGCCTCTTTGGGGACCCAGAGGGCTGCAGGGAGCCTGTGCAAGAACCCCCGCCTCTGCCTCACTTCCCCGCAGGTGCTCCAGCCGCCCTCCTGATAGATTCCACCACCCCAGAGCCCACTGACAGACCATAGCCCTGCCAGGCCTCCCCAGAGTGACCCCAAGAGGAGCATGACTCGGGATGAAGATGGCATGTGATGATGGGTGGCAGGGATCAATGTAGGACCAGCCGCTCCAGGCATGGACCACACACACAGTGCTCACCACACGGGCCCTGGTGCTTGGCAGGGATGGCACGCTGCTGCTGACACTCGGCCTGCTGGCGCCAGCAGTCATTGTCGTATGTGTGCCCATCGTGGGCACACACGGGTCTGTAGGCCCCGTCACAGGTGATGCGGTCACAGGAGCAGCGGGGGCGGCCTCGGCGGGACAGGCACACGGCATTGAACCTGCACTGGTCTGGGCACTGGTCTGGGGGTGGCAAGGACATCAGAGAGGCCAGAGTGCCATGCCAGCCCAAACCTGGGACATGCAGGGGATCCATGGGCACGGGGTGGTGAGGAGGGACCCCAGGGCATGCAGGGCAGGGCGGGCACAGGCAGGGTGGGGCCTGCCCCCGGGAGCCGCACACCTCTAGGCTGGCACTGGCCAGAGCGCACTTTCTGGAGGAGCAGGCCGCGGGCAGCCCCCGTGCGTCCCATGATACAGTCGTTGTCGTAGGTGACACCATCGTCCCCACACACTGGCGCCCGCCGGGCAGCGCAGCTCTCTGGCCTAAGGAGCATCTCTGGGCGCCGAGTGCGTGGGTTCACGCGGCAGAGGCGACTGGGGTCGCTGAGGGCGCCTTGGCAGGGATCTGAAGGGCAAAAGGCCGGAGGTCAGGGCGTCGCTGGTGAACAGAGGCCACGCAGTGTGCACGGGGCAGCACTCACCACAAGGGCCATCGAACTTCTTGAAGATGTTCTCCTGGCGGGCACAGGCACGACGCAGGAGCTGGCACTCGCTGGGATAGTCGGCGCCGTCACTGCCGCACACTGGGCCCTGCGGGGCATCCCGGCAGGTTGCAGGACACAGGCACGTGGCTGTCTGTCCGTCGGCCGAGGGCGCACAGGTGCTGCCAAAGCTGCAGGTCACATTGGAGCAGGGGTCCCGGGATCCTGTGGGAGGGGCAGGGTGGGGTCACAGGGGCCACCCCCTCCTCCCTGTGCCACCTGCCAGCCCCCGCCTGCCAGGCAGCACTCACCACAGGGCCCACGGCTGAGCAGGCGTATGCGCCGCTGCTGGCTGCACTGTGCCCGCTGCAGCTCACACTCGTTGCTGTAGGTGGAGGCGTCAGAGCCGCACACTGGCGCCACCACGCGAGGGCAGGCACGCTTCCTGCACACGCAGGCGGCTCGGCCTGGGCCGTGGGCACTGGGCTCACACACGGCGCCAAAGCCACACAGCATTCCTCGGCAAGCTGGGGTAGGACAGGGGAGGGGAGGTCAGAGCCCACGGCCCAGACGCTGCAGCGCACACAGGTCGTTCATGGAGCTCCCGTCATGGCCACGGACACACACTCGTGTCTGCTCACAGGGCTGGCCCTCCCCTCTCAAACGCTGCCCACCGCAGGGCGCCCCAGCAGCCTGCCATTCCTCATGATAGAGCCTTCTCTGCCCTCGGCCCCATAGCCCTGATGAAGATGAGCTGGGCTGTCACGTGATGAAGGGGTCTATGGGAGGAACTGGGCTCATGGAAGTTCATGGAGAACCCTACAGAAAGAACTCTGTGGTTCCAAGTTCCTTCATAATAGAACTCTGGGGTTCTAACTTCGTTTACAATAAAACTATGGTTCCAACTTCCCTTTTCCCTTCTTTAAATACCCTCCATTTTGGCACAATGGCCAGAACGTGCATGTGGCTTGCCACGTCTGCATGCACTGGGTTACAACCCTCTTCCCCCGAAAAAATTCTTTCAGGTGACGAAATACCTAGTCAATATTTTTTAAATGACAGCCCCAACTGTGGGGGACATCTCCTGATCCACCTCAGTGGAACCCCCCACAAAGCTGGAGACTAACGCTACTAAGTCACAGGTCATCGTTGCCTCGGTTTTGCTCAGGACCCCACTCCCCACATGAGAATCAAAGGCCCTCACCTGACAGGTGATCCACCCTGCCCAGCCCTGGCCCTACAGTGCCCACCACCACACCTGATCCCTGCCACTTTCCCATAGACCAGCTCTCCTGCCTTTCTTGGAAGGCCTGAGGTCACACAGCTGGGGGGAAGCGTGTGTGGGATCTGAGGTCAGGTCACCTGCTCCACCCTCTGGCTCAGGCCAGGAAACCAGTGCCCCCACCCTATCTTCCCACATCTCAGCCCCCTGCTTCTCTGGCAGCTGCCCACCCCTGGGCCTGCCCCCAAGTGCACCTTGCCTCTGCTCACCCTCACTTTCCACCCCCTCAAGCCACCCCCCACCCAGGCCCATGCTCCGTGTGGCCCTCCTTCCGAGACCCCTGGTCCTCCAGCCCTCCCAGGCCTCCCCAGCCTTGCTGGCATCTCTCCCTGGGCCCCTCGGGCACCCACACGCCTCTTCCTCCCCACCTCAGTAAATGTCCTCACCCCCTCACACTCAACTGCCACCCCTTCAGAGAGATCCAGCGCAGGGGCTCTGCAGACCTGTCATTTCTTTCTTTAAACGTTTTAGTTCTTAACTTCACAGCTGAGAGCTGCGTGTGCCCAGCATACATCCTACCACTGAACCTGCAGCAGCCCAAGGATGTGGCCACTGGTGAGGGACCATGGTCCCACCGAGTGCAGGAATGAAGACAGGGGGGAAACTGTCAAGGACAGCCCCTCCTGGGTTCAGGGGCAGGGGGGGGGGAGGCTGACTTCTAGGGACCCCTACCCAGGAATGCATGTCCACGGGTGGGTGGGCCCATTAAAAATAAATGTTTAAAGCTCAACCTGGAGCTGGGCTGCCGTGAGTCGCCGGCGACGGCATAGGCTGCAGCCCCTGTGGCAGTGGGTTGCCATGGGCTGCTGTGTGTAGCCAGCAGCCGACGTGAGCAGCCAGCAGCTGCAGTGAGCGGCCGTCCAGAAGCCGGCGACTGATCTGCCTCACCCGGGAAGAGGCGCAATGATGGTGCCAACTTGGGCCAGTGAAGCAACATCCTCCACAACTAGACTGAAGAACAAAACGACAGCAACTTGTCTGTCCCCTTCCCCCAATTCCCCAGCACTGTTCCCATCCCCCCAATTCACCAATAAAAAAAAAACTTAAAAAAAAAAAAAGCATTTACTATATTAAAAAAAATGTTTAATTGGATCCTATTATCATTAATAAATTATGGGGGCTGGAGCTGGCTCCCACCATCACCTTCCAGCAGACTCAGGAAGTGGGGCAAAAGGAAGCACCCTCAATTTTGAGGAGGGCAGGCAGGGAGCACAGAGACCTGGAGCTCCCCATTACCATGGCAATAGCCCACCCCGGGCTCCTACGTGTCTGCTGGGGCGTCCCTGTCCCCACCCCACCCCACACAGGCTGACTGAGCAAGAGCCTGGCTGAGGCCAGAACGGTCGCCCCAGCCTGAAGTTGCTACAAACCACCTATGCTCCCTTTTGGCCACCACAGCCCTGTACTCCCCCCACCTCAGATCCTTCATCAGAGCCTGCCCCCAGGTCTGCATTTGGCCGCCATGCCTCAGTATCTCCTTCTGTGGAAGCGGACAATGAGGCCTAGCTCCCAGGGTTGTGGGTTAAATGGGCCAATGTCTGCAAACGCTTGAAGGGTCCGCAGCATGCATCTGTGTGGTGTCAGCTACCACGAAATGTCCTCAGCTCAGCCGCCCCTCTGCCCTGGTTCTAACCAAACTCCCACCATGCCCACCATGCCCCCTCTTCTCTTTCATCTTCCTTGGCCTCCCTCGCACATTCGGCCCTCCCTCACCAAGGCCCCCGGCACTCCCAGGCCCAAACCACTGACACTTGCTAATGTCCAGCTGGCTGATCAACTGGACCAAGGTCTTTTTCAGGGTCCTGACCCCACGGCCAAGGACCTGGTCACCTCATTGTACCGTAGGCTCCTTGGCCAGCTGCTGCATCTATGCCCTTGGGCTCAGGCCTCTCTCCCGCTGGTCACCTTGGTCCAGCCAGACCCCTGCCAAGGTCCCAACCCCTTAGCCAAGGACAGCTACTCCTGGATGACCAGCATGTCCCTCACCCACCAAGACCTGCTCCATCCTCCACAGCCCAGGGATCCGCTTTGTCCCTGAAGACAGAGACCTGGGGAGACAGGTGACGAACAAAGCTGGGCACTGGTGTGGGTGTGAGAGAATGGCCTGGAAAGCAAGGGGCCGGGGCAGCAGACCACAGGATCGAGACAGGTGCCTTGGGACCAACAATTAAACTAGAGGTGGCTGAGGGCCAAGGAGGGGCCAGGGTGCCTCTGGGGGCCCTCGAGCTGAGGCCCCAGCACAGACTCCCACCCAGAGCGACAGTTCCTGAGGGGCAGTGTCCCAGTTCCCAGGGCAGCTGTGGCACTCGGTGATGTGATTCAGGCAAAGCTAAGGTTTGGAGCATAATGGGCCTGGCCCCCGTACACGCTGAAACAGCTTCTCCTAGGCCACGCTCAGGCTGTTAGGCGAGGTGAGGGCTGCTCCGTTCACACCTCTGCTCCCCCACGGGACGAGGGGACCATAAACACTCAAGACGAGTTTCCTGATTAGACATGCAATGCCCACAAGCAGAGACCGCATGCAGACAGGTGCGATCACACACATACATGCATACACACGTACAGGCACAGCTCGCTGTAACAGCCATGCTGTGTGCCAGGCACACCTGTTAGCTCTTGATCATCATTCAAACTGCCCCTCACAGGTGCAGGTGTGCTGCGTGCTCCTGCGTGCCCCTGGCACTTCCATGCCCACCCCAGCTCAATGTCCTGCAGGAGCCCCCCTTTGGCCACTCAGCTTCCCAGTCTCGCTTCTTGTATGTCCAAGGCCCCTCACGATGCCCGATGCGGGCGGCGGCAATGGCTTTTTATAGCCACCGCTGGAGAGGTTATATTTAGCTCCCCTCTAGCTCTCAGGTGGGTTGGGGGATGCAGTGGACACCCCAAGCCCTGCCAGTGGCCACAAATGTGTGGTGTGTGTGCCTGGAAGGGATGACGATGTCCCTGGCGTGTAGCTGTCCCCGAGTGTGCAATAGGATCGGAGCGTGGGCATGGGGCCCTCTGCAGAATGTCAGTGTTTGTGTGAAGGAAAGGACACACAGCAGCCTGTCAGGCTTCAGGAGAGGAGGCTGAGGACGACGGGAGAGGGGAGAGCGTCCTCCCACTAAGACCAATCTGAAAATCTTGCCCACGGCCTATGGATGACACAGCCCCCCGCCCGGCCCCCCGCCCAGTGCAGACCTGCCTCCTCCCACGGCTCAGCCCAAGTACGCACAGCCCTCTATACCTGACTCCATGAACTTGGGCGGGCACACATCCAGCAGGAGCTTAGGTATTGAGAGCTAACCTAGGGGCTCCCCTCCCCCAAAGAGACCCCAGGCCACCCCAACAGCACTAACAGCTCTCTCTACCCCTCTCACATTAGCTTGGTCACACACTGGCAGGCCCGCAGGGAGCCCAGGCCCCACCCACACAGGGGGTCAAGAAAGCCAGCCCCAGTCTGCTCAGCCCCACGGACAGGCCCTCCAGTGCCTCCCCGGACAGCTGCCGTTGGTCCTGCTGAAACCCCCACCCCTTTGCATACATTGTCTGACCCATCTCACAACCTGTGGGCTCCAGGATTTACTCCCAATTTTGTGGCCAAGGAGGCTGAGGCCCAGAGAAGTCAATCCACACTCACATGTGATAGCTGGCAGTCAGGCCCCTGCCAGGCCCAGGGACTCCAGACCCCACACTCCCTCTGCTCTCCACCACTGTGGACTCCCCAGAAGGGAACCCAGGCTCCCTCGTCCATCTTCATGCCTGCTCCAGATACACCTAACATGTGAGGTGCACACAACCCCAAAATGGTCCCTGACTCTCCAGGCACAAACTCCCAAGCTCAGTCTGTCACCAGTGCATACACTTACCATCTGGAGGTGTCGGGGGTGCTGGTGTGAAGTGAGTCCCAGGTTTGTCTGGAAAAAAAAAATCGACAAAGTTAGGCCCCTCTGAGCATGTTCTTCCATAGCCTGTCCCTTTGCCCAACCTGGAGGGGTCACCTCTGCCTGCCCACATCCCTTCCCCTGCCCTCCCCTGAGCCCTGAGCACTGGCGAGGCCCCTGGGACAGACAAAGGCACAGGCCTTTGCTCTTCTCTGCCCCTCCAGCTGCACCGTCAGAGCCTCACACCTGTGAGGTGGGGCCCCAGCGGCAGGTGTGGGCAGCCACCTATTCCCTAGAAGAGCCCAGTTTCCAACCCTGTCAAAGTCCCCACTCCCGAAGAAAGTTGTTTCTGCAGCTCAGGATGAGGGCCAGCCCCCCATGAGCCCAAGGACAGGCTTCCAGGGGCCCACAGAATGGCCCATCCTGACTCTAGAAGATGCAGGTGGCCCATCTGAGCTGTATCCCAGCTGGTGGCCTCTCCGTGTCCCTGCCTTTCCCCCAATCCTTGGCAGCTGAAGTAGGGGGAGCTCAGCCAGCAGAGGCAGGGTCACTTGGGCCTGGCCCAGGGTGGCCACGCCCGCAGCCACGTACAATTGTTGAGGAAGAGCAGCACAGCGAAGCCCAGCGTGGACGTGGCCAGCAGGATCAGGCAGACGTTGCAGGGGATCATGAAATAGCGCACCAGCAGGGAGACCCCGCGCTGCTGCCCGGGGTCCTGCGTCAGCAGCAGTGGAGGCATGGCCCCGGGCTCCTCAGCCTCCACTCTTTCAGGGTGTGCGGTCCTCATGGGGCACCCTTAGGCCTCTCTGGGGCTACGCCCCCCATTCTGGAACCCTGGGACAGCTGACCACAGCTATGTTCTCAAAGTTCAGCTGCAGTGGCATGCCAGGGGTGCCAGGCCCCCTCCACAGCCCTCCAGGCTCATGCTGGGAGGAGTGCAGAGCTCTCAGGAGCAGAAATGCCTTTGAAATGTGGGCTCAAAGGCAGGCGGATCAGGAACTGAGGGCCAGCAGCCACCCGCGCTGTCCGCAACCTGTCCAGGCGTCCGGGCCTGGGCCAGAGGCGCCAGCAGATCTCTGCAGGACGCTGGCGAGCTCAGTCTTCCTGGAGCCGCTGGGAGCCCCGCAGCCAGGCTACCCTGCAAAGGCCGGTCCGAGGGGACCAGCGGCCGGCTGCCCCTCACTCGGGACTCGGTAGGGAGGCGCGGCGGGGCGAGCGCGCGGAGGGTCCCGGCTGCTCCAGTCCCCGGCAGAGGCGGGGACGGTGATGGCAGCTGGAGCAGCGCGCGCGCCAGAGGGGAGAGAATAAAGAGCAGGCCGGGGAAGCGCCGCGCCGCGGCTTCGGGCTCCCGGCTCCCGCCTCCAGCCGCAGCGCCGGCTCCCCTCGCCCTCTCCGGGGCCGAGGCGGTGAGTGAGGAGCGAGGGGCGCCGCGGAGGGAGGGCGGGGAGCAGAGACAAAGGAAGACGCCTCCAGGGACCCCCGGCATCCGCGGGGAGTCGCGGCTCGCGCGGCGCAGGAGGGATCCGGCGATGGGGACAGAGGACGGCGGCACAAAAGGGAACGCAGGGTCAGGCGGGGCAGCGGCAGGGGCTGGGGGCGCTGGGGAGCGGCAGGAGGTAGGAGCGGGGATGTGAAAGGAACAGGAGCTTGGGCAGGGGCGGATGAGGGGAGAACGGGAGCTGGGGCTGGAGAGGAGGCAGGTGCTGGGCGGGCAGTGCTGGGGTGAAGGGGGTAAGAGTGCGGCGGGAACAGGGACTGGCAGGGCTAGGAGCTGCGGCTGCGTCCGGGTCCTCTCCCACTCCCACCTGGATGGGCTGTGCTGTGCTGTGCCTGAGGGTCTGGGTACCCGCAGCGGGGCTCAGGCCTGCACCGGGGACCCGGTTCTGGGCTACTGTCTGCGTGTCATCACCGTGTGTGCCTGTGCGTGTCTTTGCTTCTGCTGGCCCCACCGTGGCAGTGTGTGTGGGCGGGGGGGGGGGCCTACATACACACAGGTGGAAAGTGGGCTGAGTCGAATGCCGAAGGTGGGGGGTGGCATGATGGGCCCATCCCTTCCTAAGAATGGACAGCAACCCCTCAAACCACTCGCACACCACCCAACTCTTTTCCCGGAAGTGGCGGTGAGAGGAACATGCAAATGAGTTACTTGTAAATAAGTGTTATGCAAATAGCCGCGGGACTCCGGGTGTGGTCCCCTGTCTAGAGCGCCCCGCAGAGGCCGCCCCGCGAACATCAGGGCCGTGACGTCACAGCAGGGCGGGGACGCAGTCAGAACGTTCCACATCCGCCCCCTGAGGACACCCCCTTCCCCAACCCTACCCGGGACCGTCAGGTCCACAGCTCCCTGCCTGATTGGGGGGACCGTGTCGTGTCCCGTCCCTCCCTCCGTGGCAAGGATACCATGGTGACAATCTCCATGACCAACACATTCCCTTCACCGCCTGCAGTCATGTGGGAGGGACCCCTAAGTGGCCCCCTCCATACTGGACCTGGTCACAGGCCGTGCACGCCCAACGACCTCCACCACCTGCCCCTCCTAGCGTCCTCCAGCCCTTTCTGGGGAGAGGGAGAGGAAGCACAGCCTCCAGGACAGGAGGGACCCTCTTCTCATGGGGGTCAGTTCCTTCAACGGCAGCTGACCAACTCCCCACTCCAGCTGAAAAAAACTTTAATTGCACCTCCCTCCACCTCACACACCCTGCAGTCAGGCTTTGGGAGGGGTTTTGTGTTTGCTGTCTGTCAGCGGGTCCCCTTTCGGCCAAACTGCTACTGCCACCAGTGCCACCCCTGGTTACTCTTAGGCCTAATCTTGGCCCACCTTGGGAAAGCATTGTGCACATCCACCTCCCTAGAGTCCCTCCCTCCAGATCTGGGGTTCCTCTGCCCTGGCCCTGGCCCAGATCCTTCCTGGTGCTACCCCAACTCTCTACCCATTGGTAGTGGCACCACCCTAGAGCATCAACAGCCATCTCTGTGCCTCAATTGAACCCTCCCCAAGGTTACTCCACCCTACCAGGTGTCCAGCTGCTTCACAAACATGGCCCTGGTCACTCCCTCCTGGTCAGGCGGGCTCCTCCACACACACACACACACACACACACACACACACACACACACACACACACACACAACCTTCCAGAGCCAGGCAGCCCCTGCCAGCCAGCGCCCAGTTCCGCCAGGTCCGTCTCCCTTGACTTTTCCATCCCTTGGCCAGGCACACTAGTGCCAAATCCCACACGGGGTCAGCCCTCCCATCAGGGCCCCCAGCACCCATGGCAGAGGTCTTCAAACCTCTTGGAGCCCTGGAACCTGAGGTTCTAATGAAACCTTGCAGGAAAAGCCAATAAACAAAGTGGTTCCCCCACCCTGTGTCACTATGTGCCCAGAGAAGCAATCCATCAAGCCACTTGGCGACCCTGGCCCCTGGCCGCGTCACCCTCTTCTCAGGGGAGCCTCTCACCCCCCTCACCTCAATGGACCTTGGCACTGCCCACACCACACTGATAGTGCCTGTGGCTCCCCAGGCACCGCCCTGGACCGGGAGCACCCCGGGCAGGGTCTGACTTTTTCTCTCACGGCATGGCGGTTCTCACACCTTCCCATATAACTCCTCATTGCAGCCCTCCAAGACTGCAGTCCGCATCCCTTGGTTCAGAGAGGGCCCCTCTGACAGTGCCAGGGGTGAAACCCCAGGTGTGCCCTGTGCCTACAGGGGACACACCCGTCTGCTCCTGCCACTGCAACGGAGGGACATCATGGGGGTGGGGCGCTCTGCAGGAACCAGGGTGTGGGAGCAGTAACTCTAGGGATCAGTGGGAGCCGGGAGTGGGGGCTGGCAGGGGAGGCCTCGCCCTCGCACAGACCCCGGGATCTGCCCACAAATGGGCTGGCCTTCAGATGCTCACGTGGTGAGGGGCCTGGCCAACCCAGCCAATACTGGGTGGAGCTTAGGGCCTACACGCAGGGCCTGGGAGGGGAACCGGCCTGCAGCCTGGTCCCTCCCAGTCCCAGTCTGAGTCGGAGCCCCCAACAGGGGCTGGCCGCCTTCAGGGAGACAAAGGGCCATTGAGGCCCCAGACCCAGCCTCTGGGAGGGGAACTCAGGCTACCAGAGCTATTTTGGGATCATCAGACTCAAAATCATTCAGCCCTGACCAGCCCAGACAGGCTTATGCCCTAGGAATGAACAGACGATACTCTGATCCAGGAGTTAGCCCCTGGTCTCTGGGCTTACACACATCAGCATGCAACTGCAACACACGTGTACACACATTCGGTCCTTCAGTGTCACGCATGCAGACACACACGTACACCCACTCAAGTTTGCACAGGAACTGGGTGTCTCACACACACAGCTGTGTGCATACACACTGGGCATCCCACACACTCATCTTCATGTAACATAAGGTTTGTTCCTCACCCACACAACACGTACACACGTGTGCACACACGCAGGCTCCGGTTGGACACCTCCAGGTACATCTCTGGCCCTGAGGTCAGGAAATGGCACCTGGAGAGTCCAGCCCACGGGCAACCTGCTGGCCCCTTTCTCATGCAGATGACCCCTGGCTCACTCCATTGGGATTGGGGCCCAGCTCCTTCCCAAAGGATGGGGTGGGGGCGGGGCACCGCACATGCGCACACGCACCGCTAGTGCCGAGGCCTCACCCGGCCAGCGCCATCTCCACGAGCCCGGCACGCAGCATCGAGCGCTGGCTGCCGGCCGCTCAGAGTCACAGGTGCCTGGCAGCCTCGATGGGGGAGGGGAAACAGAACCGGGCAGAGGAGCCCCCTCCCCAAGCCCCTGGCCTCCTGTCTCAGGCTACGGCAGTCCCCTCCCCCTCGGTCTTAGCAGACAATGGGCGTTTCACAGCGGGATGTCGCTGCTGGATAACAGCCAGCCTCTGGGAAGGAGGTGGCATCCAGCCCAGTTCCCAGATCGCAGCCTCAGGTGAAGCCAGGAGGTGCCCATGTCTGGCTCTGTACCCACCCACACTTCCGCCAGTTAGCCCACACTGCCGGGTGGTGGGATTAAATGAGTTTTGGGAATGGGCTTAGCATGGCTGGCTCTCAGAACTGCGGGCTGCAAAGGCAGCTGCCGCACAGCTCCCTAACTCATTACTCAGCATCGCTCTTTGCTCATCTGTGCCCAGGGCCCCTCCCTCTCTCCCTCCCTCCCTGACCTGATCTAAATTCGAGAGGTGTATCCTGAGTCAGATTAGCTCTCCGCCCTCAGGGAGGTTACACTGGCAGAGGGGGCACCAGGTTGGAGGGTCTGAGGGGTGACATCTGCAGAGACCTGAGGGATGGGGAGAGGGGTCTGCACCGATCTGGAGGAAGAGCCCTCAGGCAGAGGCAACTACAGAGGCCCAGGTGAGAACAAGCAGGAGGCTACAGGAAGCCAGGAGGAGCCAGTGGGCAGATCCTCAGGCCTGGGGAGCGAGGGAGGGAGCTGGACACCTGCCAGGACACCCGCCGCAGCCACTAGGGGGAGCCAGCTAAACAGGAGAGAGACAGCAGGCACCTGGAGAAGAGAAAGGGATGCGAGGCTGAGCCACGCCTTCGGTCCCTCCTCACCAGGACAGCCCCAAGCCCACCTCTTGCAGCCATCTCCAGGAGGAAGGAGAAAGCTGGGGGAGCCAGGGTGGTGCCCAGGTGTGGTCAGTGCCTGTGAGTGGGGAGACCCTGTGTCCCTGCTGAGGACAGCTGTGTGGAGCTGGGCACCACGGGGGGCAATAGGGGATCCAGAGCCCAGGCCCAAAGTCTGAGTTGGTAGCCAGTTGGATGTCAGGATGAAAAGCAGTCGCAGACAGACACTCACTGGTGCAGAGAACAAAGGCGCAGACAGAGACCAGAGAGAAGAGAGCTGCAGAGATGGAAAGAGACGCAGGACAGAGACTCTGGAGGCAGCCAGGGTGAGGGGGAACCTGTCCCGGGGGAGAACGGATGCCAGGAGAACAGCGCAGGTGCCAGGTGCCTGCCACTTGTCACGTGGGAAGGCTCCACTCAGGAAGGTTCACTCTCCCACCCAGGCGGTCATGGGGCTGACTGTGGGCTTCCAGCCCCCCCGCCCTCCCCTGCTTTCTCCCAGCCCTCACCCGAGCTACCCTAACAGGGCCACCAGCTGCTCCCCGTACCCACCCAGCCTCACATGCTGTCTTTTCCACCCAAATGCCCTTCCTGCAGCTTCC